TGTCGGACAAAATGGCGAATTCAGAGGATGGCGGATTATGATTGGTCAAACCGCCTGTCAATCAAACTCCCTGCGAAGGGTGAATTGGATATGGTACGTGTATCATCGTATCATCCAACTATTCCATTCAAACTGGCAAACAAAAAACAGGAAAAACGGTTTATACGGTTTATTGTTTTCCTGTATGAACCAAGGGTGGCTTGCCCACTTCAGGTTGGTGGAGAGTTCCTGCCTCAAGTGGAGGAGTTTAAGTATCTTGGGGTCTTGTTCACGAGTGAGGGAAGGATGGAACGGGAGATTGACAGACGGATCGGTGCAGCTTCTGCAGTAATGCGGTCGATGTACCGGTCTGTGGTGAAGAAGGAGCTGAGCTGCAAGGCGAAGCTCTCGGTTTACCGGTCGATCTACGTTCCTACTCTCACCTATGGTCATGAGTTTTGGGTCATGACCGAAAGGACAAGATCCCAGATACAGGCGGCCGAAATGAGCTTTCTCCGCAGGGTGACTGGGCGATCCCTTAGAGATAGGGTGAGAAGCTTGGTCACTCGGGAGGAGCTCAGAGTAGAGCCGCTGCTCCTCCACATCGAGAGGCCCAGCTGAGGTGGCTCGGGCATCTGTTCCGGATGCCTTCTGGACGCCTTCCCGGGGAGGTGTTCCGGGCGTGTCCCACTGGGAGGAGACCCCGGGGAAGACCTAGGACACGCTGGAGGGACTATATCTCCCGGCTGGCCTGGGAACGCCTCGGTGTCCCCCCGGAAGAGCTGGAGGAAGTGTCCAGGGAGAGGGAAGTCTGGGCATCTCTGCTTAGACTAATGCCCCCGCGACCCGGCCCCGGATAAGCGGAAGAAGATGGATGGATGGATGGATGGATGAACCAAAAAAAAATTAAGCTGGTGTTGCATGGGGGAATATTCAAGAAATGTTCACGGTTTTCACGTATTCCCCCACGGTACACCAGCTTTAATTGTTTTTGGTTCATACAGAAAAATTAAATATTTATCTTTTTTGTCCCGTTTTTAGTTTGCCCGTTTGAATGGAATAATTGGATGATACACGGACCGGATATGCACAAAATCAGATGTGAGCTGAGTCTGAACGAGGCTTTCACTTCCTCCTCTGTAGTTGTAGCTTAGATCGAGGTTCACATGTGATCAGTCAGAGTACAGGTCATGTGTATTCGGCGTCCGAGCGCGGGATTGTCCCGAACCCAGTGGACTCCCGTATCCGCGGTTGGGAAAGGAGAAGTGCGGAGATGGAGGAGGGGTGCTGGGAACAGAGGCAAGTCTGCTGTGTGTATTCCTCTTAGCTCGTTAATTGAGTCGATTAACTGAACATGCTCCTCCCGTGTTAATTAGGTTAATTATCTGAATGTGCTTCTCCCAAACTTTGTTAATAAAACATCATATATTAATTAGGTTACTTGACTGGATGCAATGAAGGTTGCCAATCAATGTCATCATGGCCAAATTAATATTCATCAAGTATTCAGTAGAGCCTTTCACCTTATTCTTCAAATCTTACTTCCTTGTTATTTATGTTTCCTTGTCCATTTGAACTCATTATGTGTTTGTCTTTACACACTTAAAGGGATAGTCCACCCAAAAATGAAAATTGTCTTCATTTACTTTCTCTCATGTCTCCAATCCTGCAGAACACAGAATAAGATATTTTGAAGAATGTTGGTACTTTATCTTTTGGAAATAAAATGTTTTGTTACCAACATTCTACAAGATATCTTCTTTTGTGTTCAGCCGAAGAGAGAGATGTTCAGACACATCTCGACAGCCGTTTATGAGCACTAATTATGAACCTGAAGTGACGCTTTTACAAACTCACAGTATTTTTTTAAATCGTATAAACTGAGTCCCTGTCTGGCGTGAGCTTTCAGAGAGGGGTTAAAGGTCAGGGTCCGGATGAAGCTGCGGACCGATTACAGCTCTGGCCACAAATATTCTCGTCATATTAAAATACCAAGCTTTAACTCATTTTTCCTGATGGTAAATAAAGAAAATATATACAACTCATTTATTCAAACCAATAGAATATTTGTAGCACAAACTTTTTGTTTACAATGATTTGTTAAAATACTGTTAAACCAGAGGAAAACCCCTACGCCCCTTTGACAAAGTCTTGTTGTTTTCAGGCTCTACTAGAACAGGTTTTCCTGCTTGAATGTTGATTATTCTCCTCATATTCTCCATTGTTGCGGCTCCTCTCTTCCCAGTCTGTCAGTAACGCTCTGTTTACTTCCTGTCTCTATGAAGCCCCTCCTTCTGAAAAGCACACTGTGCTCTGATTGGTCGGCTGGAGCAGTGTGTTGCGATTGGTCGAGCGCTTCGAGTGTGTTTGGGAAATGCCCCGCCCCTTTCCATAACCGCCAGTTTAACACACTACTAACTAACTCAACCAGGCCCCGCCCCTTTATTCTGCGCATTATTATAATGAGGAATATTGTGACGTGTTCGTTCCCGGAAGAAACTCAAGACTACAGTGGAGGCGTTTCAGGAGTTCAGAAACACTGACACCAAGAACTGGAGCTTTGCAGAGTTTTTTCAGGCTCAAACAGCAACATCTTATTTATTTTTATATCTTAACTATTATTATGAATGAGTTAAAGATTTTGTAGTCATATTGCATAGGTGTGCTTGGAGTCGATTGTTTTATTTGTGATAATAACACAATGAAACATGACAAATTGTGCAACATAATTTTTGTCCAGCCTGTCAAACAAATAAATTATGAACACATGCAAAAACAACAGAGAACCAACCAAATATTAATAACTGATTATGTTGTAGTCAATGTTTGCTTTTTCCTGTCAGATTTTTACATGCATTTTTTTGCATATAAAATAAAACCTGTAGCTGTAATTTAACTTTATTTGCCAAACAATTTTGTCAGATAAATACCTTAACCAAGTTTAATGTTTTGTTCTTCCCTATTTAAAATATAACAGAATTTCCTCATATTTCGCTGGTTTAATGGAGCTCGTTAAAAACCCCTCAGACGTCACTAGAGTCAGGAGAACCGGCTCAGTGATGGTTTATTAGCAGGGACGATGTTAACGTGTGTTCTGTTCATATGAATTAGCAGATTTCTGTCAGTACAATATGATCAGACTTTTTGACAACCGACTATATTAATACTTTTCATTAATACTTTTTGAGAACTGCTTACTCTTGCTTAGAACAAAGCCGGCTGCTCTTTCTGTCTGTGAGCCAGGAAAGGAAAATTCACCTGATTATGTTGTAAATTCATGTTATAGATCTTATTGTGAATGTTTAGTTAAAACAATAAAAGCTTCTTCCGTTTCATCACTTAAATGACATTGAAACGCTGATATATATATCTGCTACACAATATAGACACAATATCTACATATGGAGGATCATGTATACCAGGGTTGGACGATATTCCTAAAACTTGAAATCTTTCTAAATTTTGATGATAAGCCCCATATACATCTCAATATTTTTGCTTTTGCTCTAGAATAATTAAAAAAGGTGATTTTCTTTTTCCCCAATTAAAAACAAACAGATTTGGACAAACAGTTATTATGTCAAAGCACATTCAAAATGTTTAGTGCAAAAAAAACACAAAGTAAAAATAAAAATGCAGACTTTTCTTTATTAATCTTAATTTTCAACAATATTTGATATTCACAATATATAATATTGATGATAATATTGCTAATATTCTCTCTCTCTCTCTATATATATATCACCCAGCCCTAAAACATGAAGCATAGCGGTATTACTCTCTGTAAAGCTGCTTTAAAACTGCATTCTGGGAAATGCAAACATTTGGTTTTCATAGTTACCCCTGTATAATGTGCGTTGTGTGTGCAATGATGAGGAACAAAAGATGCAATGTCACGCTAGCCGTAATCTGAGCTTCACCCTTTCTAGACAAATAAACAAAAAAGTCAGTGTTGATGTTGTTAGATATATTTTAATCAAGCAAATGTGAAAAAGCTGAAGACAGGAACAGCGTCAGGGTTACAGATACACACAGTGTTTAGGGGTTCACACTCAAACATCACACTGTTACAGAGAGAGAGACGAGTTCCCTGAGGCGTGTTTGACAGATCGACAGACAACACTATTATACAGCAGGAACACACACTCTCACGAGCATAATCATAATTATAATCACGTCAGGCACTCCGTCACGGCCGCTTCTGACCAGCGTTTGGCACTTTAAACATAAGGTCACGACTATAAACTTACACACATCACGGAGATCTCGTTTCACAATCTAACAGCTTAAATATCTGTGAATTTCAGAAGAAAAAAATATTCACCTCCCTCTTTTGTTGTCTTAAAAGTTAAGGCTTTACAAATTGCATAAACGCGCAAGCATAACAAATAATTTCCAAAAAGATGCAAATTCATTTTTGAAAGCAAGCCTCCGTCGGTACCGTGGAAAACCCTGAGGCGTTTAACTGGATCCTAATGTGGATATAACACACGTGTTCAGCGCTCGTGTGATATACTGGATGAAGAGCTCATAGACACACACACTGTGCTGAACTATACTGTCAGTCAAGAGTTGTACAAACACTCGATTTTGTTCTGTACAGGCATTTCAAATATCTGAAAATCTTATAAAAGCAAAAAGTCACGTTTATAAACATAATTCTCGCGCTCCTTGAATCACAGTAAAACCCCATAACACCCCGAGCCGCAGCTTTACTCAACACTGGATATACTGTACGGCAGCCGGTTTGGCGCACAATGAACTTTGAGATGAAAGATAAAAGTCATTAAAAAGCGAAACGATCACTGCAGGTTGAGCGAACTCAAGCCAGCAGAACAGTAGTTGGAGAAAAGCCTGCTCAATCCTCACCTTTCCCTTCTTCTTCTTCTCCCCCCCGAAGAACTTCCCGATCTGGTCCATGACGGTGGGGCTCTTCTTGCTGCGGCCCAGCCGGAGAGTGGACTGCGAGGAGCTTGCGGATGCCATGAGCGAGTCTCTGAGGGAAGCGAGGCGAGAGAGGTCTACTCGAGGTCCTCCTGGATGGTCTGCAGCTCGTCCGACTCTGAGGGCCGCTCTGTGAAGGTGTTGTCCTCTCGCCCCGGGGCGTCCCGAGAGAACAGGCGGGTCAGGTGTGGGCGGGGCCCGTCGGGGTCAGGGGTCGTGCCGCTCGACTGCTTCCAGATGCCCTGATCCACTGCCTCCGTCGTGGAGTCGCTCAGCGCTGGACTCTTGCTGGAAGAGCCATTGTTCTGGTTCAGGTCCGCCTCCCCCAGTCCTGAACACACACACCATTGTCATCAACATTGAATCATCACTTTTCATGAGAAACTATTAGGGGTGTGACCTTTTCTTTTCATTGGCTTTTGGCTTGCTTAGTTGGGGACATTTAATATAATCTTCAACAATAATATGGATCTGCCTGCATCGACACACCATTGCCATCAACATAAATCATCACTTTCATGAGAAACTTTTAGGGGTGTCACAATATATCACAATAATATGTATTGTGGATATTTCATCCAAAATAAAAATTAGAGTTTTAGTGTCAGTACTACATTAAACTACTATATATGATGTTGAATATAATGTATAATAATGCAATGGGGGGATATTTGTGGGACTGATAAGGCCAGATGTCTTGTTACCAGTATAAAGTGGCCTTTATTATATTAAATATATCCAGTCAGTGACAGAGATCAAGCATATTCATCTACAACAATTCAGTGTTTTCAGCTTCAGAATCATGAATATTGTTATTCTGGCGTCTCTATTGTCCTGTGTTGGGTTTCAGCACCAAGTCCATCCTATTCATTTACACACACAATGCAATATTAAATTTAGCATTTTAATCAACAGGACATTTTTTGTTAACCTTTAATCATGTCTTGGTGTATCACAATAATATGGTATGGTGAGTTCAGTGCGGTGATATGAGGGTATGGTGAGTTCAGTGTGGTGATATGAGGGTATGGTGAGTTCAGTGCGGTGATATGAGGGTATGGTGAGTTCAGTGTGGTGATATGAGGGTATGGTGAGTTCAGTGCGGTGATATGAGGGTATGGTGAGTTCAGTGCGGTGATATGAGGGTATGGTGAGTTCAGTGCGGTGATATGAGGGTATGGTGAGTTCAGTGCGGTGATATGAGGGTATGGTGAGTTCAGTGCGGTGATATGAGGGTATGGTGAGTTCAGTGCGGTGATATGAGGGTATGGTGAGTTCAGTGCGGTGATATGAGGGTATGGTGAGTTCAGTGCGGTGATATGAGGGTATGGTGAGTTCAGTGTGGTGATATGAGGGTATCGTGAGTTCAGTGCGGTGATATGAGGGTATGGTGAGTTCAGTTCAGTGTGGTGATATGAGGGTATGGTGAGTTCAGTGTGGTGATATGAGGGTATGGTGAGTTCAGTGTGGTGATATGAGGGTATGGTGAGTTCAGTGCGGTGATATGAGGGTATGGTGAGTTCAGTGCGGTGATATGAGGGTATGGTGAGTTCAGTGCGGTGATATGAGGGTATGGTGAGTTCAGTGCGGTGATATGAGGGTATGGTGAGTTCAGTGCGGTGATATGAGGGTATGGTGCGTTCAGTGCGGTGATATGAGGGTATGGTGAGTTCAGTGCGGTGATATGAGGGTATGGTGAGTTCAGTGCGGTGATATGAGGGTATGGTGAGTTCAGTGCGGTGATATGAGGGTATGGTGAGTTCAGTGCGGTGATATGAGGGTATGGTGAGTTCAGTGCGGTGATATGAGGGTATGGTGAGTTCAGTGCGGTGATATGAGGGTATGGTGAGTTCAGTGCGGTGATATGAGGGTATGGTGAGTTCAGTGCGGTGATATGAGGGTATGGTGAGTTCAGTGCGGTGATATGAGGGTATGGTGAGTTCAGTGCGGTGATATGAGGGTATGGTGAGTTCAGTGCGGTGATATGAGGGTATGGTGAGTTCAGTGCGGTGATATGAGGGTATGGTGAGTTCAGTGTGGTGATATGAGGGTATGGTGAGTTCAGTGCGGTGATATGAGGGTATGGTGAGTTCAGTGCGGTGATATGAGGGTATGGTGAGTTCAGTGCGGTGATATGAGGGTATGGTGAGTTCAGTGCGGTGATATGAGGGTATGGTGAGTTCAGTGTGGTGATATGAGGGTATGGTGAGTTCAGTGTGGTGATATGAGGGTATGGTGAGTTCAGTGCGGTGATATGAGGGTATGGTGAGTTCAGTGCGGTGATATGAGGGTATGGTGAGTTCAGTGCGGTGATATGAGGGTATGGTGAGTTCAGTGCGGTGATATGAGGGTATGGTGAGTTCAGTGCGGTGATATGAGGGTATGGTGAGTTCAGTGCGGTGATATGAGGGTATGGTGAGTTCAGTGCGGTGATATGAGGGTATGGTGAGTTCAGTGCGGTGATATGAGGGTATGGTGAGTTCAGTGTGGTGATATGAGGGTATGGTGAGTTCAGTGCGGTGATATGAGGGTATGGTGAGTTCAGTGCGGTGATATGAGGGTATGGTGAGTTCAGTGCGGTGATATGAGGGTATGGTGAGAGTTCAGTGCGGTGATATGAGGGTATGGTGAGTTCAGTGCGGTGATATGAGGGTATGGTGAGTTCAGTGCGGTGATATGAGGGTATGGTGAGTTCAGTGCGGTGATATGAGGGTATGGTGAGTTCAGTGCGGTGATATGAGGGTATGGTGAGTTCAGTGCGGTGATATGAGGGTATGGTGAGTTCAGTGCGGTGATATGAGGGTATGGTGAGTTCAGTGCGGTGATATGAGGGTATGGTGAGTTCAGTGCGGTGATATGAGGGTATGGTGAGTTCAGTTCAGTGATATGAGGGTATGGTGAGTTCAGTTCAGTGTGGTGATATGAGGGTATGGTGAGAGTTCAGTGCGGTGATATGAGGGTATGGTGAGTTCAGTGCGGTGATATGAGGGTATGGTGAGTTCAGTGCGGTGATATGAGGGTATGGTGAGTTCAGTGTGGTGATATGAGGGTATGGTGAGTTCAGTGCGGTGATATGAGGGTATGGTGAGTTCAGTGTGGTGATATGAGGGTATGGTGAGTTCAGTGTGGTGATATGAGGGTATGGTGAGTTCAGTGCGGTGATATGAGGGTATGGTGAGTTCAGTGCGGTGATATGAGGGTATGGTGAGTTCAGTGCGGTGATATGAGGGTATGGTGAGTTCAGTGCGGTGATATGAGGGTATGGTGAGTTCAGTGCGGTGATATGAGGGTATGGTGAGTTCAGTGCGGTGATATGAGGGTATGGTGAGTTCAGTGCGGTGATATGAGGGTATGGTGAGTTCAGTGCGGTGATATGAGGGTATGGTGAGTTCAGTGCGGTGATATGAGGGTATGGTGAGTTCAGTGCGGTGATATGAGGGTATGGTGAGTTCAGTGCGGTGATATGAGGGTATGGTGAGTTCAGTGTGGTGATATGAGGGTATGGTGAGTTCAGTGCGGTGATATGAGGGTATGGTGAGTTCAGTGCGGTGATATGAGGGTATGGTGAGTTCAGTGCGGTGATATGAGGGTATGGTGAGTTCAGTGCGGTGATATGAGGGTATGGTGCGTTCAGTGTGGTGATATGAGGGTATGGTGAGTTCAGTGCGGTGATATGAGGGTATGGTGAGTTCAGTGTGGTGATATGAGGGTATGGTGAGTTCAGTGCGGTGATATGAGGGTATGGTGAGTTCAGTGTGGTGATATGAGGGTATGGTGAGTTCAGTGTGGTGATATGAGGGTATGGTGAGTTCAGTGCGGTGATATGAGGGTATGGTGAGTTCAGTGCGGTGATATGAGGGTATGGTGAGTTCAGTGCGGTGATATGAGGGTATGGTGAGTTCAGTGCGGTGATATGAGGGTATGGTGAGTTCAGTGCGGTGATATGAGGGTATGGTGAGTTCAGTGCGGTGATATGAGGGTATGGTGAGTTCAGTGTGGTGATATGAGGGTATCGTGAGTTCAGTGCGGTGATATGAGGGTATGGTGAGTTCAGTTCAGTGTGGTGATATGAGGGTATGGTGAGTTCAGTGTGGTGATATGAGGGTATGGTGAGTTCAGTGTGGTGATATGAGGGTATGGTGAGTTCAGTGCGGTGATATGAGGGTATGGTGAGTTCAGTGCGGTGATATGAGGGTATGGTGAGTTCAGTGCGGTGATATGAGGGTATGGTGAGTTCAGTGCGGTGATATGAGGGTATGGTGAGTTCAGTGCGGTGATATGAGGGTATGGTGAGTTCAGTGCGGTGATATGAGGGTATGGTGCGTTCAGTGTGGTGATATGAGGGTATGGTGAGTTCAGTGCGGTGATATGAGGGTATGGTGAGTTCAGTGTGGTGATATGAGGGTATGGTGAGTTCAGTGCGGTGATATGAGGGTATGGTGAGTTCAGTGCGGTGATATGAGGGTATGGTGAGTTCAGTGTGGTGATATGAGGGTATGGTGAGTTCAGTGCGGTGATATGAGGGTATGGTGAGTTCAGTGCGGTGATATGAGGGTATGGTGAGTTCAGTGCGGTGATATGAGGGTATGGTGAGTTCAGTGCGGTGATATGAGGGTATGGTGAGTTCAGTGCGGTGATATGAGGGTATGGTGAGTTCAGTGCGGTGATATGAGGGTATGGTGAGTTCAGTGCGGTGATATGAGGGTATGGTGAGTTCAGTGTGGTGATATGAGGGTATGGTGAGTTCAGTGTGGTGATATGAGGGTATGGTGAGTTCAGTGCGGTGATATGAGGGTATGGTGAGTTCAGTGTGGTGATATGAGGGTATGGTGAGTTCAGTGCGGTGATATGAGGGTATGGTGAGTTCAGTGCGGTGATATGAGGGTATGGTGAGTTCAGTGCGGTGATATGAGGGTATGGTGAGTTCAGTGCGGTGATATGAGGGTATGGTGAGTTCAGTGCGGTGATATGAGGGTATGGTGAGTTCAGTGCGGTGATATGAGGGTATGGTGAGTTCAGTTCAGTGTGGTGATATGAGGGTATGGTGAGTTCAGTGCGGTGATATGAGGGTATGGTGAGTTCAGTGCGGTGATATGAGGGTATGGTGAGTTCAGTGCGGTGATATGAGGGTATGGTGAGTTCAGTGTGGTGATATGAGGGTATGGTGAGTTCAGTGTGGTGATATGAGGGTATGGTGAGTTCAGTGCGGTGATATGAGGGTATGGTGAGTTCAGTGCGGTGATATGAGGGTATGGTGAGTTCAGTGCGGTGATATGAGGGTATGGTGAGTTCAGTGCGGTGATATGAGGGTATGGTGAGTTCAGTGCGGTG